TGGCCCGCCGCGTGCGGGCCCTACGCGAGCAGCGGGAGCGGCCGCGCGACTCACAGCGCTATGCTCTGGACTACGAGACGCTGACGCGGCCTCACTCGGGCCGCCGGCTGCCCATGCGGGCCTGGGCCGACGCGCGCCGCGAGAGCCGCCTCCTGCAGCTGCTCTGTCGCCTCCCGTTCTTCGGCCTGGGCCGCCTAGTCACACGCAAGTCCTGGCTGTGGCAGCACGACGAGCCGTGCTACTGGCGCCTCACGCGTGTCCGCCCGGACTACACGGCACAGGTGCGTGCGCCCGGCCTCACTTCCCCGCTCCGCATCGCAGGGCAGCACTGTTCCCCCTACTCGCGGCTTTGTGGGACGGGGTTTCCAGCGTCCTGCTCTTGGGGGGCAAGAAAGCTTTGTGAGCTGATCCCCTCCCTATTTGCTTTGCAGAACTTGGACCATGGTAAGGCCTGGGGCATCCTGACCTTCAAAGGTAAGGAGTCGGAGACCGGCTGGGGTGGCTGTTGGCAATAGACTGTTCCGCAAGTGGCTGTGCAATAAACCCTGCCCTCCTTTCCCCAGGAAAGACGGAGGGCGAGGCCCGAGAAATCAAGCAGGCCATGTATCACGACTGGCGGCTGGTGCCCAGGCACGAGGAGGAGGCCTTCACCGCTTTCACGCCGGTGCCCGAGGAGACTCTGGGCTCTGTGCCCTACCCGCCGCTGCTCCGGGCCATGATTCTAGCAGAGCGACAGAAAAATGGGGACACCAGTACCGAGGAGCCCATGCTGAATCTGGGGAGAATACGCATTGATTCCTGGGACTACCCTGTGAAACAAGAGGCAAAGAGAAAACCCAAGGGCACTCCAGTCTAAAATGCAAGAACGGGCAGTCTGCCTGAAGGGTGTAAGGCAGTGGACATCATTTTGATGAAACAAAATGTCTTTGGATTACACCTGAATCAGCTCCCTGAAACCTCTGTGACTTGTTCTGAGACTGCACCTGTGTCTTTCCTCTGTTCCTGTTGCCCAAACCCAAATCTCCCTGAAGGGGCCACTCAGGAGCAGGCAGCTGCTGGGGGAAAGCTGAAAGCAACAGGGCTAGAGGTGTGGAGCCCCAGCGCCAGCACCTTTCACTTCCAGGCTGGCATCCCTTCCCCATCATGCGTTGCCTCAGCCTGGACCTAAGCTTGAACGCGAATAAAGGCAAATGAAGCAGCCCTGGGTTGTGGTTTCTTCGAGTTTGGGCTGGAGGACCACGGCGAATTGTCTGTAGGAGTGTGGGGAGAAAAAGACTGACACCGCGGTGTATCTGGCCCGGTGGATGGGAAGACTGGAGCGGATTGGGGGTGGCACAGACGCGGTTGTAGTAGGGGTCCTGGGGTGGGCATGGAACTCAGGCAGGGCTTCACTGCGTCGCCCAGGTTCCCCAGCCCCCGCCTTTCTCGCCGCATCCCGGAGGCAGCCACTCTAGGAGGCTGGACGAAGGGGACCCGGCCACGGCCCCTTTAAGCGCAGGCCCCACCTCCACGCCCCTCCCCTGCCACCCGTCTGCGCTCCGCTGCAGCTGCCGCCGCCATCATGATCTGCTTGCTGCTGACCATCTTCGCCAACTTATTCCCGGCGAGTAAGCAGCAGCCGGGGCTGGGGGCCGGGAAGGGTTGGGAGGAGCTGCTGCCAGGCCTGACGCGTGCCGCCTCCCGGGTCCCGCAGCCTGCTCCGGTGTGCACGAACGCACCTTCCTGGCCGTGAAGCCCGACGGCGTGCAGCGGCGGCTCGTGGGCGAGATCGTGCGGCGCTTCGAGAGGAAGGGCTTCAAGCTGGTGGCCC